CCTTTCTCTTCTGCCCAAGCCTTCATGCTGGCGGCTATCTGATCGGCCATACGACGATCCAGCTTTGCAGCATTTTTTACTGAATTCATTAGGCTCTTATAAGCCTCGTCACTCAGAAACTCACGGGTGGAACGGCTTCCGAATACATTGCTGGCAAAAATTGCAGTGATCTTCTTGCCATTGTAATGACTTACTTTTTTTTCTTCTGCATTGAGCTCAGCCAAAGCAGGGAAACGAAGTGATGACATTTGAAATTATATTTTTTGCAAAAGTAAAAAATATAAGCACATCGACAAGAAATATTTACCTGTTCGCCAAAATTTTACAACATGCAAAAAAATATTACTTTGTTGTAAATGCCAGCCCGAAATCTTGAAAAAGAAAGGCTTCGATGCTTAACGGGTGCGTATCGCCGGGGCGGCCAGCCATGAGTTCAAAGAAGTAATAGTCGTCCAGTTCGCTGAAAGCGCGGATGGGCAGGTGTTCAATAAAGTCAATGCCACGCTGCCCCAGCCATTTATAAGCAGCTTCCTTGGCATCCCAGGCGAGGGTGATCAGGCGGGTATCGTTTTTAAAGTATTGCTGCTCCCGCGCAGAAAGGAACTTATGCTGCAACGTTTCCATCCGGTCATGCCAGGTTTGTATATCAATGCCGCATTCCGTTGTATCACTGATCATCGCTGCCACATACGGATAGGAGTGCGAGATGGAAAAGAAATAACGGTCGTCCGGTATCCGCGGCTTGTCCTGCGCATCTTTATAGATACGGTGCAAGGGGAAATCTTGTTTCAGGAATTGGAGCAGGAAGCGGCCAGCCAGCCGCTCCATGCGGCGCTTATCACTTTTAATGTCCGACGACACGCCGGTTTGATCTACGAAAAAAGCTTCCGGTTCTTCTATCTTCCAGATGGCTGCAAGGCTATGTGCATCAGGCTCCCATTCTTTAAACAATGCCATGGGGTAAAGATAAGTGATCCGTAACGTGCCGCAGAAACCGCCACCCTCTTTTTTGTGTTGTGTTTCTTTTTTAGCTTTCCGGTACCAAATACTGTTTCATGAAACTGCTCCGGTTACTGACGCTTTTATGCCTGCCATTCTTTGCTGCCGCGCAATCTAAGGATGCCGACTTTAAATCAAAAGGCTCGCCGATTCCCCCGTTTGTATTGGAAAAGGTAAATGGCAGCACGATTGACAACCGTATCCTGAAACCTGGCAAGCCGGTTATGCTGATGATTGTATCTCCCGGTTGCGACCACTGCGAGCATATGATTGATTCCGTGAAACGGCTTATCCCGCGTTTTGTCAATACCCAGGTAGTGGTAGTTACAGAAGCGCGCAACAAACCGAACCTGGGCGATTTTATGAAGAAAATGAAACTGGATAAATTACCGCTCTTTCAGCAGGCGGGTTATGATAAGAGCAACCTTATCTTTTTTATCTACTCCGGCAATATGCTGCCGCAGATCAGCTTTTACAATAGTAAGCACAAACTCATCCGCTCCTTTTCCGGCAACTTCCCGGTCGATTCGCTGCGGTCCTTTATCAACTGACCGGCTTAGTTCAGGTCATTTTCAATAATGGTCATGAGCTCTTTCTCGCTTACCTCCTGCATATCGGTTATGTAGATGGTCTCATTAGACGTAACAGTTGTGCTATGTATATTATAAGCTAACACGCCATTGACCTTTGAAATGGAAAGAATCTTTACGCGCATCCCGATCGGGATATTATAATTACCGCTGGTAAATGCTTCTACCCCGGCATCGCCAAAAAGTTTCACCAATCCGTTCTCCGGCAGCAGTAAGGCAACTGTCGCATTCATATTGCCATTCTTTTCGGGCAGCTTTACAGATAGCTTGGTAGTGCCTTGTCCCGCGCTCGCAATACGGTCGACATTCCACCAGTTTAACCGGTTGATGAAGAAGTCGTAAGTAACAACATTTCCAAATGTCCCTTGATTCCACCTTGTCGTATCGTCATTCCAATTTAAGGTTATTGGCTGGTATAACATCATAGATGAAAGGGGCATCAGCCCTACAAACAAGCGGTTGTTGCGGTTAAAATTCCCGTTTCGCTCGGGTACAGATACACTGACCGGTTTTATGAGTTGTAATCCCTGCTCCGCCGGATTAGCCGCAGTGATCCGGAAGGCGCCGCTTGTTATCAGCAGCGAACCATCGATATGGCCGGTATTTAAATCACCGGTAAGCAGGTCTTTATTGGTAAAATACTCCTTGACCTTTATCACAACATTTCCGTTC